ATGTTCTGACACCATCCTTCCCCCTTGGTAGCTTCCATTTAGGGCTCAATTTGACTGCATGCCCTATTCTTTATCACAGGAGCATACTGCCACAACTGCCGTTGACAACTAACCTGGAGAAACCACAGTCCTGCTCCTCTGAAACCCAGATGTGTCAACTCAGATGTTAGAAAACTAATCCTTCCCTTTCTCACTTTATCAGTTTTCATCAGATTACTCCCCTTCTTACTCTGCAACCAAACGACCGAAGGGCTACTAGGTCCAATGCAAGGATGAAGAGAGGAGAGACAGATGAGCAGAAGACAACCACCTCAGCAACAGTCCCCAGTTAAACAGGGTTACACAAAGTCTCAAACTGGTACAGAGCAATGCATGTCCTGGAGAGGCGGAACAACAAAAGCTCCGACTTCCCCCCCAGCCACACACTCTTACTGCTTACTCTGTAGCAGGTCACCTGTCTGCTATTTTAATGGCAATGTATTAATACAATTAAAACCAAAACAGAGGAAAAAAAAAAAAAAAAACCCAACCATATGTGCTTTTCTACTGTTTGGGTTTTTTGTTTTTTTGTTTAAAAGTTATTTTAGTTGATTCAGGGTATTAAATGCAAGCTATGACAAGGGATGGGGCAGCATAATGTCTGGGAGCAAAGCCTGGACAGAAAAATACCTCTCTGCAGAGGTCAGAACAGGAAAGCTACTGCAGTAGCTCTGCTGACTATGGAGTTACAGCATTAGTTTGATCTTTTATAACGTGGTGAAGATTTGCTGCTCAAGGCTTTTTGCAGCTGAGTTCTCACTCCTTCTGGTCACACTTAGCTCATCTGTTTTCATCCAAATATCTTCAGTGTGAGCTGGAGGAGAGATGATTAAAAAAAACCCAAAACCTACTTTACTGTACTCCTCTCCCCTTTGCTATTCTTTAGGCATGGAAGGAAACCTTCCTAAAAACATTATTAGCACTACCCCATTACAGTTCATGTCTCTCCACAAAAGCTGTGTCACAAAGCCTGCAAAAATACCAACAGCCATCAAGCTCTCCTCATCCTGAAACTACTGGCTATCATCCCGACTGTGTGACTGTTTCCTTAGGCTTTCCTTCCAGCCATTCACACCTATTGTTCTGTATTTGAGAAAGGCCCTGTTGTTCTGTGCCTCTATCTAGTTGCTATAAATAAAGCTTGTCAATTGTTATAAACAACTATCAGATGCGTTTGTGAAAGGAAAAAAATCTTCACGATCATTATTACCATATTTTTTGTATGACACCTTTTTTCAATCTTTAGCCTGAAGCATGTTTGCATATTTAGCAAATTTCCTATTATGTAAAATGAGTATTAGAATAGTACAGAAGGTACTGTGATTTGTGAGGCAAAAATAATGTAGTTTAAAAAGTAAACTAAACTAACATTAATGCTCTACTAGAGCAGAATGGTTATGGTACCAGAAAGAAACTACAAACAGAAAAAACAATGTAAGAACACACAAGAGGCAGATGCACCTACATGCAGACTGCTAGGAAGCCCAGTTTTCAACTCAGGGTCATTAGTTTCCTCCTCTCAGCCAACCCTGATCATCTTTATCTCTGGAATAAGCTCTGGACCCAGTACAGCTGTCATCTGATCAGTACAGACTTACTTGGGGTAAAATACCCATAAATTCAGTTGCCTTGGAACTCTCAAGTATTTCGGACAGTGGCCCTAACCCCCGTCTCCAGTGTATGAGCTACTGGAACCACGTAATTCTATTTTCTTTGAGAAGGGCTGTAGTGTTATTTTTAATAATACTTTTTTTAAAAAGTCAGTTTCAAGTCCCAACATTAACTTATCACAAAATAATGTGTTACTGTGGACTGACTTTTGGAAAAATGCAGGAGACTTTAGTCCTTAAACTACAAAGCAACAAATACATCAAATAACCATTTTCCAGTGTGAGTGACAAACACGCACACGAAAAACTAAACAAAAAACCAGAATGCAATAATATAGCTGTCCAAGCAACGTTTTCTTTGTGAGCAAGTGGTAAGATTATCTCCTGCTTTTTTACCATTTCCAAATTATTCAGTCATCTATGTCACACACTTAACTAGAGCTTTAAAAGACCTTTTATCTAACTTAGTTTACCAACTTCAAAGACCTATGGAAATACATTGTAAGGGTATGAAAACCACAAAAATACAGTAATCTGTAATTCTGTAATCCAACAATGAGTTGCCATCTATTTTTAGCTAGTTTCAAAAGGCAACTTGTGCAAGCACTGTTTGATTCAACTTTCCTTCCTCCATGGACACTGATCATACTGACAGTGTGCCTACTTGTAAAAAGACACATACTGGAGTTGACCTTATGATCAGCCTATTACACATAGAAGGCTTGGAAAGCAGTCACTCAAACGACACTCAACTTTTCAAACTACGACTATCAAGGACACACAAAAATTTTTCTTTGCCAAACACAAACAAGTTAGTCTGTAAAAGTATCTAGATAATAACAAATATTATACAGCAGATCAAGGAAAGAAAACACAGATGAGGATAAAACAGTTGACCTCATATACCATCCTTCTTCCTCATGCCTATTCTTTCTTTATAGATTTTAAACCAAAATTAGTATCATTGTTGTCAAACACTGTAGTTCTTCAGGAACAAAAAGGTCAGACAGAAATGTAAACAGAACTTAAACTACAACCTCTGCAGGTGTAAACAGAAAGTTTGCACGCCCCCCTCAAAAATGCCACAGTAGCCTTAGCAGAGCGAGCCTGAAGGCAAAAAGGTTCAATGAAGGGAGGCTGTTTCAAACTTAATCTGAATAAAACATTTTTAATAGCAGCAGTAGCCTAATTATTTGGTTTCCCTCTGCCTTAGCAATTCCCCTCATAACAACTGAACAAGAATCTGCATGACTTCCCATCAAATTTATACCAAATCAAACTAAACTACAAGAGGAATGACAGAAGGAAGGAAAAGGCTGATTTCCCAGTTTGGTTCATCATGGAGTCTGCAGATGAAAAACAAGGGATTACAGAGATGAGAACACACACACAGAAACAGAGGCAGAAAAGGTAAACTGGCCACCAACTATCAGAACGACTGCCAGACATACCTCTAAGTTTAAGATACCTAAAAAGAGACAAACTGCACTCCCCAGTCTCAGCAAGATTATTTCCTTGATACTCAGAAGAAAGGTATTCTCAGAACACCTAAGTGCCACTGATGGTTGGGAACCTGCTTAAGATGACTCCACCACTGGGAAGCCATTAGTAACCAGCAAACAACACTGTGAGCTGTCTCCCAGACCTTGGACTGAGGGCAGCACACTATGTGAGGGCTGCCGATTCAGCACGCAGAACCCAGATCACCCTCCAGGGAGGAAAGTGCCGGAGTGATCATGGGTCTCAGATTTTACGTGGCTGGTAATGCAGCTGCCCTACGGGAGCACTACTGACTTTCTGAATAATAGTCTGGGATTGCCAGTGCAGAAAGCAGAAGACAAAGGTCCCCTGACCTCCATCTCCCTGACAGAATTAAAATTCTTCAGAGAACACATTAATCACCAGGACCACAGAAGAGTCTGAAAAGACACATGATCCATCCTTCAAATCATACTGGAGAAATGGGGTCCGCATTCAGCCAGAACTGAAGAGTTACGAAGCCTAAGAGAATATAACTGACTTAGCAGTTTCATTATTCCTCCAAAGGAAGTGGTAAGTTCTGGTTTTACTAAGGTGATTTCAAATTTTGATGCTTTTTATAGTGTCCAGCATACTGGACAAACATGGAGTCACAGCCAAAACAGTACTCTCTACTTTCCATGGCAATTAGCTAAGTCTAAACAGTCAAAAAATGAAGGCATTAAATGAATTTACACACTTAACGCATTTTACAGTTGCCGAAGATTTTACTTTCTCAACTATTTTCTTGGACAGAAGGAACACAATCTCACAGATAACACCCTTCAGGTGGGGAGGAACGGAGTAAGAAGGTATTGGAGAGGAGATATTATAGTGAGAGGGAGATACAGTGGTTTCAGCCACTGCAAGTTTAAACTAACAAAAACTTTCCTTTGCAAGATGAAAAATGTCTTAAGTGCTTGGGCAAAACAACACAACAAATCTAGACAACAGCAGCATAAACCAGTATTTGTAACAACTATCTGCTGGAGAAGTGGAGTGTGAAGAAAGAGGAAAATTTGAGTTATGAAAAGGAGCAGGAGAACAAACTACCTTCTTTGCTGTAAAATAAGTAAATACAATCTGCAAGAAATGTCAACACCTCGGGACACACATACACAAGAATATGAGGTAACAAACACTCTGTTCCTCATAACCAATTTTAATTGTACTCTTCACTAGTGCTCATCATCACAACAATTCAAAGACTAGTGTTACAGGAGTAGGATATGGTATTTCCACTAGGTGGCTAACTTCTATTAATTGGCACAATAATCTCCTGCAATAAATACCCATAATTAATGGGTGCGATCATAAAACAGCTGAGGGTCCCCAGAAACACTTATTTGTGTAAACTCCATATGCAGTGTTTACATAAACTATGGAAAGAAACCCTAGACTTCCTTCAAGCAAAAGTCTATGACATAGCAGCACAAAACTACCATGGTAACGCCTGACTGCCAGGTCTAATTGCATTTCATAAAATCATTCCAAAATGGATTTCACAATCTGCTGCTTAATTACCACTTTCCCCACTGGGAGTGCAGGATTATTTGGTAGTAATTCCTCACAATTAGAGAGCTCCACAGATCTGCTGTGAATGAAATTTTACCCAGTGGTCTGTGCACAAGACTTCAGGTCACAACCATGAATGAACCCATAATGCAGTGTGAGA